TAAAACTCCTGATAAAACTTCTGATAAAACTCCTGATAAAACTTCTGGTCTCTCTTGTAAGAGTCCCCGAGGCTCAATGGGATTAACCTGTAGAAATAAAGGTTGAATGAATAAGCCCCTCCCACTGAGGCACACATTATGTCAAACAGCAACAGAGTATATTTTTAGTTTTGGTTGGTGATGAAGGAGTTGGAGGAAGTATTTCTGTTGGTGGTCGAGGAGACAACAGATGATGCAGCAACGTGTCCCTACACACTCCCTCCTGGTCATTGCCACCATGAAGAGCCTTCCACGTCTCCACGGTGTCTCCTCTGCGCACAAAGTCTCCATCCACGAGTTCTTTCAATTTATTCATTTTTACTTGAACAGTTCTCATGTTGGTGGTATTTTCTAACAGCCTCGGTCAGCAGCTCCTGAGCAGACGCTACCCAGAGATCGGCTGACTGCAACCACTTTTAATAAACACGCCCACAACGATCTGACCAATCACAATGCTCGCTGCACACCCTGTGAGAAGGAGTTCTGACTGTCAGCAGCAGGTGTAGAAGAAAAATCCTGTGGTTGTGCAGCCACGTCAGCGAGACACTTCAGCTCTTCTCAGGGAGCATCAACGAGGGCCACCGTCATTAAAACTGAATTAAAGTCCGAGCAGGACATCGACATCAAAACCAGCTGAAGACATTTACAAAGGTCCAAACAGTGTCCTCGTGTCAGCGTGGACAGAGAGACGGGACAGCTCCAAGTCAAAGAGGACAGACATGGAGACATGTCCTCTGTTGGACCCACAGACTAAAAGCAGACTTGTTTGTCTGAGAAGAGTCGGCTGACGGGAGGAAATGAAAACATGAACCTAGAAAAATACAAGAAATACAGCGAATGCTTAAAGATGCTGAACAAGCTAATGCTCACTTGAAAAACAGCAAAGAATGAGCTGAAAGGAGCACAGAAGAGCTGAAATTATCAAAAAAAAAGTAGCTGAAAGAAAATGAAATAAGCTGAAACTAGCAGGAAGAAGCTAAAAGTTGGAAACATGCTAACATCAACAAAGAAAAAAAACAGGAGTAAAAAGCCGAAAACAAACAGAAAAGCTTAAAAAATAAGAATCTGAACAAAAGCACAAAACAGCTAAAATGAGCAGAACAGCTGAAAGTAGCTTTAAAAAGTGCTAAAAGTTAGAAAGAGCACATATTAAATAAAAGCTGAAATTAACTGAAAAGTTGCCAAAAAGATTAAATTAGCAGGAAAAAAAAAGCTGAAATGTGGCTGAGAAAAACAGAAAAACAGCTAAAATCACTCAAAAGAAACAAAAAAGAAAAAAAGAAACTGTCCAGATGAGCTGACTGAAAAATGTTGGATTGTATACCTGGATTATTGAGCATGGACTTGGTTGCACTCAAAAGAAGATTAAGTTTGCAGAAAGAAGCTAAAAATGAGGTTTAAAAGCTGAAATTAGAGGGAGCTGACGCAGAGCAACAACTGAAATGAGCAGTAAACAGCTAAAGGCTTTGAAGAAGGTGAAGACCATTCATTTTCAATGAGAAAAACATGGCCGACAAAACTAAATCCTTCACACAGACCAGAAGTCCAAGCAGGAACGTCCTGAACGAGCCGAACGTTTGGAGACGCGAGTTGTTGACATCTACAGCTTTGTGGTTCTGCTCAGACAGAACTTCAGAACTTTGGCTGTGGGTCTGTTCAGATAGAACCAGAGGCACACGGAGCAGTTTGATGTTCTGGTTCTGACAAAGTGGAGCTTCTGTTTGGATCATCACAGTTTGAAGTCTGAGATCTCAGCAGAACATCAGAACAAACATCTTACTTGGAGGTGAGAAGCTGCTCCACCACAGCCACTGGAACACAACCTGAACAGGTTCTTCATGGCTCCTCCTACCAGAACATCCAGGTCCAAACCCTCAGCTGGGACACAGCCCCTGCTGCAGCCTGTAATAGCTGCGTGGGAAACCCCGTAGCGCTCAGGTGTGGCTCGTCAGCTCGTCACAGACCCTGCTCCTCTTACCTTCTCGCTGTCCACGGTGTTCTGGGAGGTCCGGGAAGCGATGGAGACGGTGTCTGGCTGGCTGCTGCCGTCCCCCTGACTGTCCCCGTCCTCAGCTCCGTCCCTGAAGACACACATATGCAGGACAGAGTGAAGTCCAAACCCATCCAGCTGGTTCCATGATTAATCCAGAGCAGCAACTGCTGTGGGAGGAGTACTATAAAGTACTATAAAGTACTAAGGTACTTTAAGGAACTGTAAGGAACTTTCATGTACTATAAAGTACTATAAAGTAGTATAATGTACTTTAAGGTACTGTAAGGAACTTTCATGTACTATAAGGAACTGTAAGGTAGTATAAAGTACTTTAAGGTACTCCAGCTGCTCGGTGGGGTCTAAAGAGCCCAGTGTGTTTGGTCTCCACTTGTTGTCTGGATGTCAGGGAAGTGTTGAGCTGCAGATTGTTGATCAGTCAACGTGATGAGGGTTTCAGTAAAACTGTCTGGAGGGTACAGGGGTTCAGTGGTGCTGCTTTACCTCTTTGTGTGGTTCTTGGGTTTGGTCAGCGCCGGTGTTTTGGGCAGAGACAGAGGCTCCTTCAGCACGCCCTTCAGCTGAGTCATCCTCTCCTGGATCACCTCCCTGATGCTTCTGATCCACTCCTGCTTGGCTTCCATGCTGGAGGCCTGCAGGAGGAACAGTTCCAACGTTACACAATGGCCGACGGTGGCTGAACGTTTGTTCTAGTAACATTTCAGTGCTCCATACCTTTAACACTGTTTTATTGTCAGAGGAGGGGGTTCTTCCTGACCAAAGAGCAAATTTAAACAGGTCACCCTCGATGTGCTCGGTCACCCCCAACTCCGATGTCTGAGGAGAGATGCAAGCTCAGGTTAAAACCCAAACCAGGACCGTGCTGTTCACACATGAGCAAGGGGCACCGACCAGCAGCCTGTTCTTGTACTGGTACTTCGTTCTCCCAGCCGAGTCCTTGATCTCCTTACTGAACACCAACGAAAACTCAAACAGGAATAAGTGCCGATCCCGCCCCTTCCGGATGAGCGAACGTGGGTCCCACACCTGGAAGCTGTCCTGCAGGATGAGCTCTCCCTGCACCTCCAAGTTCTCCTCAAAACCTGAGAAAGACGCAGACTGAGAGTTCAGATCCAGCCGACGGGAGACGTAAATGTTGTTCTGCTGCACAGCGGGCCTGATCTCACCCTCCAGCATGGCCAGGTGCATGGCATCATTCGCCCTCTTAGGAACACTGAGCATCACCTCCAGACCATCTTTCATCTCCCCTTTACCTTCCTCACAGCAAGACAGCAGCTCCTGCAGGAGGAAGAGATGACTGACAGAATGGCTCAGCCATGGTCATAGGGCGTTGTGGGGGTTGGATGGTGGGACCTACCTTCAGCAGCAGCTGGTACTTGGTGATCCTCTGGACTGGTTTGATGAGGCAGGAGTTGATGGAGTTCACCAGGCCACGCCTCTGCTGGATGTCCTGTCAGCGCACACACAACATTCATAAAAACTGACCAAACAAAGGAATGGGAATGTTCTGATTTGTCTGATAAATGGAAATTATACAAACTTCAGTTAAATTCATGAATGACTCGGAAAAATTCTGGATTAAATTAGATTAAATGTCAAAATATAGAAACATCAGGATCACTAAACATGGAAACAGTCTCAACTGCTGCCCAAAAACTGTTACATCAACTATACTGATGGAGGTCCCTGAGGACCAGAGTTGGACAACACTGATGAACAGCATCTACCTAAGCCTCATAGAGGATCTCCCATGGACCAGTGGTCCAACAGGTTCTACTTACATCAAAGAAGGTGCCGGCGTGCTCCAGGATGAGCTGACTGGAGTCTGGTTTGTTCTTGCAATAGTCCACATAAATGTGGAACTTATCAGCCTGAAAGCCACAGGACAGGAGGATGTTTGAAGAACCCAATCCAGCCTTGAATTAGGTCCAAAACCAGAGGTACACATGAAACATCTGAGTCTCACCCAGGTGACAAAGCAGTGGCCCACATCCTCTGGAAGCTGCTCATAGTTCACAAGCTCCTTCAGGAAGATGCTGCCAGATAAAAAACAATTTCTTCTTTTACAACAATAAGATGCTCTCAGACCCTGACGCAATGTTGAACTGTAACGAACAAGAAGATCTGAGGAATCATAAGAGAGACTCCTGGATGTTCAGAATCGAGTGTTCCTCTGGGAAACTGGAAGACTTTTCAAACTAAACCTTAAAGAGACCTTAAAGGAATCTAACTGAGCACCTCGATGGGAAGGAAAGACAAGCGGCAAATATTTTTAAACTGAAAATCAAAATGCCCCAGAAAATCTTGATTAGTAAGTTTTAAATAAAGATCTGCTGATTTGCAGCTAGAAGAAAAACATCAATTAAATGTTAGAATTAAAAATGTCCATGCTCAATAATCCAGGTATACAATCCAACACTTTTCAGTCAGGTCATCTGGACAGTTTCTTTTTTTGCTGAAACGTTTCACCTTCCATCCAGAAGGCTTCATCAGTCAAGGAAACACACAACAAAACTGATTCTTCCACCAACAGCTTACTCCAAAGTGGAACAAACCAGTTATGTTGGTGCTAAGATGATCTCTTTGGCACCAACATAACTGGTTTGTTCCACTTTGGAGTAAGCTGTTTGGAGGAAGAACAAGTTTTGTGTTGTGTGTTTCCTTGACTGATGAAGCCTTCTGGATGGAAGGTGAAATGTTTCAGCAAAAAAAGAAACTGTCCAGATGACCTGACTGAAAAGTGTTGAAATGTTAGACATTTAAGAAACACCCACAACTACATCCACATGCATTTATGGTGAAAGGAAAAAAGATCTGCCTCGCTCCAAAAGTCAACTTGTTTAGGAAGAATATGCTCACTTGTTGTGGAAGTCGTAGATTTCCTGCATGTTGCCGAAAACTACGAGCTCCTTATTCGAGATGGCCGAAGGAATCTCCTCCTCACCGCTGGTCATCTCCCACAGGTAGGTCTGTCACAGAGAGGAGTTAGACAGGTGGAAGGGTGTGTGTATGTGTGTGTCGGGGGGATGGGGGTGGGGGGTGGGGGCGTCTGCACCTCTAGACATTCCTGCAGATCTCTGACATAGGTCTTCTCTGTCTGCAGCAGCTCTGCCATGATGAACCTGAGAAGAGGAGGAGATGATTTAAACCCAGAAAACCACTCAAAGAGAAACAGGGGATAGCTCATTTGTCTATCTGCTCTTGCCCTCCTGTACAGAACTCACTCTCACTTCCTGTACATATCCTGTACAGTACTCACTCTCACTTCCTGTACGTTACTCACTCTCACTTCCTGTACAGTACTAACTCTCACTTCCTGTACA